TCGTTTGGTTTGTTTAGAATTTCGTGCAGAGTTACACGAGGGCTATTTGCGTTGGGTTGTTTTGAATTTTGCGCAAAGCTACACGAGGGCTATCAGCGCTAGCCGTCCCTAATTTAGCAGTGAAAGACTAGAGGGAAGGCAGGTAGTCATCACCACCCATCGCCTACTCTTGGGCTACTCTTTTACCAACGAATAGTGGGATTGACCATAATGTTATAACGCCCCTACGGCTTAAAGGGCAAGCATGTTCGGTGTGACAGATTGCAAGTCGAAGTATTATTATTATCATAATCAGTAATCAACGTTATATACAATTCTATATTCTAGAGATATCAATACTGTCCCCATGAATCGAGATATTCTTCCAATACAGTGGACTGTCAGAGAAAAGTATACCTTTTGACCCTCATCCCATCAACCGGGGACAGTGTTTCTATTTTGTTGTTTTTCTCTCTCTTTTCACACAACCCCCTTCTTCAGGTTTATGGAATATTTGTATCCTGCACCTTTTAAATCTTAAATCATATCGAAGCAAGAGTTTTTAGTATTGCAAAATAATATTCTAAAACAAATACCAGATGTGTGTGTGTACACATATACATACCCTTCTTATCATTAAAACTAAGTTAGTTTTCAACATACCTTTGTGATAAGTGGTGCGACTTTTAAATTAAAACATTGTACAACTGTAAAATTTTATGTTCCCGCTGCCCACAGAATTTTTGTTCTAGCACAAAGCTACACAATGAGCTACATACTCTCTGTTCACCACGGGGAATCGGGCCCTGGGTTTTAGCGTTGTAAGTCCGTAAAGCTACAGCTGACACACTGAAGGACAGAAAACTTTCTACAGCTAATAATGCGCGTGGAAGTTTTTCTTTTCTTTTGGTACTTTATCACAATATATTATGTTATTAAAAAATCAATAACCTAAATGAAAATATCCTTATTTTTACTTACAATTTATACTAAATATCGAGGAATTCTATATGGCACTTAAATATTAAAACACTGAAAAAAAGATAAGTTACCAACTGGTTTAGGAGATGAGATAAATAACTTCCTTACCAGTGTGTATGTGTGTGTGGGGGGGGGGGCGAAATTTTAAATCTCTGAAATTATGGTGAAAAAATACTATTTTTTTAGCTAGTCCACCTCTCGGAAAGACTAATCATCACGTCTAATTATCTATGATAACCTACTGCTACATTTGCTACTGCTGCGAACAAGGAATTCGATACAAGAAAGCTGAGTACCCATTATTTTTATACGATAATGATTTTCTCTGAGCCACCGAACACTGCATTGCCTGCCTGAAAAACAGGTTTGGAAACATGCATCTTATTACAAGCGTTTTGCAACAAACCCCAGAAGAGTTCTATTCAACGGTTGTCCTAGCAACAGCTCTGATCTTATAAATTAATAAGCGGAATAGCGTGCAGAAACCTAATCAACCGACATTGATTGGAAGAGACATTAATCATCTGTTTATTCATTTGTCTCTGTGTGTGAAAAAAAAACAATTTTTATAAGTAGAAACTAATGTTTTTCTTTAGAGTTACGAGAAAATACAGGTAAACTAATTATTAAATATAGTCAAAATAAAAAAATACTACAACGAAATTAAACGTACATACAATACTATCACAAGTTTATAAATGCTGCACATTAGCTTCACAATGAATTTTTTTCGATAGAAATAAAATGGCTGTGCTAGAAGAGCTTAAGTATTCTGTTTTTGAGGGTTCTAGGACAGGGTCTGGCTGGACTTTGCTCAAAGATTTCATAAGCCACGTTTCATGTCACGTGACGTGAAGATAGTACAGAACAATTTTGCTTTGTTTTCTTGTCCTTATGCAATGGTCTATGAAGTCTGATATGTGCTTCAGATACCGATTATGCATGCACAAGTAAAGAATAAATTCCCTGTTTTTTTTTTAATGAAATAATACTGTCTAACGTGCGTAATTTACAATTTATAACAATAACCTGCACTTTTGCTTTCAATTTACTAGTAGTGTCATTACAGTCCTAAATGAATAAAGACAAACTGTATAGATGTGCACGAATGTTTACTGCAACGTTAAATATTTTCCCTTTTAGTTCCCTAATTATGCATTATAATTATTTCCCACAAACTTTTCGACAGAGACCTCTAACGGCCAACTCAGGACTCCATTTATGTCTGTCTTGAGTTCCACCATGCAATATGCAAATCTACGTTAAGTTCAATATTTTCTATTAATCATATACTACACGTGTGTGTATTTTGGTAGGCTTTCCTAGATCATAATTAGATCAAGTAAACAAAACATTAAAATAACTGTTGTACAACAATAATAATTTTTAATTTCTGTGTGCATTTCCAATTTCTATCAATACATAAAATAAAAGCTCTTACTCAAATATTTGAAGAACTCAACATAATATTTTTAATAAGCTTTTTAAGTGCGCTGAAAGATGGAATAAAAATTAATTATTCATGTTTAAAAACCTGTGTGGTAAACCGTGATTTACGGTTTAAAAATATCTTTCCATGTACAGCTTCACAAATTCTACATGGAAAGTACAAAACAGTTTTTTTTTTCTCTAACTGCTAACAATATTGGTTCTTTTATTTACTTATCATGAAAATACAATTTAATGGTGTGGTTTGAAAATAACGAAATTTCACTTAAACTTCAAATAGAAATGTGTATTACATATAAACACTTATAACAGGAGAGCCTTTTATATGAAAAACGAAATTACACATCATCTGAAACGAATTTTTATACAAAACAAAAATTGCGTATAAGAATACAGTAATTATAAGTAAATAGCTAAAACCAAATATAATACAAATAAGAAACAGGAAACATAGGTGTCTGTGCTTCTTTGTCACTCGTTATTATATTGTTGTAAACTATACTTTTGTTTTTAGATGTTTGCTAGAGGGCCCATGGCAGTAAGATCAAGTAAGTTAAAAAATGTAACCCTAGAATACTTAAGATGTTAATGAATATTACTATTAGTGATCAAAAGACTTTACGAAATATCCAGAACAAGGTTACTTTATAAATGAGAATCAATGAAGCAGAGAGTCAGTTTTTAAATGTAAGAGTGCCAGTCAATCATGTAAATAATTCAGTGTTAGTTATCACGTATCTTCAGTTACGTACGTTAGACGTCGTAACGGTAGCAAGTAAATTCCAGTTAAAAGTGAAAAATTATTTGTGAAATTAAGCCTACAAGTACAACTACAGACAAGTGTTCATATTAGTAATAGTAGCCTATACTATAGCAAACGTTAAGAAAGAAATAAAGAAATTTGTTACAGTAACGTGGACTGGACTTGGCCTTATGTTTACTAATTTAAAATAACCCTTCCAATGAAGATACAACACTCAACAGTTTGCTATATACGCATAACAAATTTGTAATGGTTTCTCATTCAGCTTGTTCCAAGAACACTGGAAGATACTATCTCTAGGACTGTTCTCTGGCTAACAGCACAAGATAATATTAATAGTGACGAGTCTTTCATCTTTTAATATATTTTAGAAGACATTTTAATAAGTTGCTTGTGAAGGTAGGGGGCCCTTATTATTAGGCAGACAAACGGCTTTCGTCTTTATACTATCTCATTTAGAAAGCAACAAATGTGCATCAAGACTTGCAGTACTTCTTACCCAATCTTTTCTTTTCGGCTCTTTTGTTTTTGTAATAAACAGATGTTTCAATTTAAAGACCTGAACTGGATAAAATATTGAATTATTGTGTTACCAGCTATTTTACTAATTTATGTAAATTAATAATCATCGTCGAGATAATGTGTAGAAAATCATTCTATGTAATCTTCGGGCATTGAAAGTAATTAAAATCATTAAGCACGAACACGTAGTTCAACTGATCTTCACACTTTAAGTACTTTCTTTCATTTAGTACTCTTACAGTTAACCAAATTATCGATAAGACATCAGTGTCGAACAACGTGACCAAAAATTCGACTATTCTCAACGATTAAATGACCTTTTGTAACAACTTATCATTATTGAAGGCATATTACCATAATTAATATTAACTCGAAATCAGCTTATTCATAAAACTTATAATTTATATCAACATCAAGCTAATATTTTTGTATTTGTTACACACCATCATGGTTCACGCAATAATATTGGAGGCATGAGTAAAAAAAAAAGTTTAAATAATTTGACTACGTTGTTCTTGACGAAGGTGGACATTTTTTTTTTTACCGAATACAACTTCCTGTAAAGAAATCGTAGCTTAAAAATATTGTTATTTACGTTAAACAATACCGTAGCAAATTTAAGATTTATGTTCTTGTAAACAATTACTACAACTACAAGTAATATGTTAATCATGTTTAAAATATTTAAATACGCTAAATACATAGTCATATTAAAATATTATTTCTTCTGTGGAGAACATGTGGATATATTGTATTCACTGTAAAAAAAATATGTTCTAAATCAAGAAAGTCTGATCTACCTAAAATATTTGAGTTGTTGAAATACGTGTACATCGTATTTGTTTGTTACATCCGCCATTTATTTAATAGATGCGAGTAGCTCGTTTGAACCAGTGGCGCCCGAGGCCGTCCCAAGCCACCGCATGCAGTGGTTGCCTCGCGCGACTCAACAAAGTAAACCGATAATTATGCAGGGAATGCACAACAATCTAAATATTACCAATGTATATCAAAACACACAGGAATTTACACAAATTACAAAAGCGAGTTACTAGCAATAATTAGAATGAAAGGTTACATTTTCACATTAATATTAGAATACCAAAATAAAAAGCAACAAAGTTTTCTAATTTAGTATCAACTACAGCTGTGGCTGGGAACGTAGTTCGCGTGAGGAATTGCAGAGTGAATCACATTGTGAAAGCGGAGAAAGGAACGTGGCACACAGCAATGGCGACAGGACAAAGCATTAACAACAGAAAATTGGGAACAAAACACAGAACAGCTCAAGGAGTTAGGGACATACCTTGGCAATGACCGAGAGGGCTGTTTGGGATATTGGCAGGTACCAGGGTAGGTCTTTAGGATCTAGTGGGACAAGAACGGGATTTCAAATAAGGAAAAGGACAGTGCTCGTCAGCTGCGTGATTCTTCCCTGCAGTGGTCTAATCACTATTCGTCCACTATATAACATAGTTCCAAAGATAATGGATATTTATATCTCACTTTAATCAAATTTTTAAATAAATTTAAAATATATTTAACTACATGCTTTTATCTAAGTGTTCACTGGAAAATTAGGACAGACAACACTATTATTTTATAGCTTATATAATGATTATGTATTATTCCGCAGTAGGGACCATCACAATATTTGAAATAAATTGTTAAGTTTTCAGTAAAAATAAATCTGAAAGTAATATGTTTTGTAAAAACACACAGAAATGAAGTATTTGTATTAAAATTATTATGTAATTTCATGTTGTTTTATTTTTAATAAATTGTGTAATAATTGAAAAAACATAGATTTTAAAAGTATTTCCGTGGTCAAGTTCTTATGGCCTTTTAGACAAAATGATAGATAAAAAAAGGAAAAAAGTCCTATGTAAGAACCTCCTTATAGAATAATTTATACTTTATTTTGAAACATATATACCATACCACAAAAGTAGGATTTTCTCTCCATAAAAAAAAAAATGTTGAACAATAAGAAAATGCTTTAATTTAATTTATATTTATATATAGAATCATCTATGTACTGATTATAAAATAGTGTTCAGTAATCCAACAATAAAGACTACGCATTTTTAGCACAAAGATGCTTTTATCTTAATAGGATTATTAGTTTACATTGAAGGAAGAAGAGCGAGAGGCAAGCATAGATTCACTTGGCTCGATGACATTTAGAGTTTAGACGAGAAGGTTGGATTAGAAAAATTGGTGTAGGCAGAGAATAAACAGGAGCCGTAGCAGTTAATCGTATAATTTGGGAGGACACCGTGATTGATTAATTGATCAGTTCGCAATTACAACTATGACGTAAATGATTGGATGGTCCTTATAGACCCGTCATGCAAAAGTGCGGCCTCTAGCGAAAATAATTGTAAATAGCCATGGGAAAAATACAGCTGGAAGAAATGTACTTTATTTACGAAAATGTAATAATGTTAAAATGTCTTATGGTAAAATTCAAATTGCCTTTTAAATAAGGATGATTTACTTCAGTTGAAAAATGCTAAATTTTTTTATAGTTAATAAGAAACAACAATTTCTTTTTCTTTTGTAAACGTCGTGGAATATTAACATTTCCGAACACAGTAAAGACAATGTTTTTCATGTACGGAAAACAAGAAACTAAAAGATAAGACATTTTTTAGATAACTAATATCGAAACAGGTGCCTTCTAGAGCTTTTTAAATCACATGATGAGATGATGTCGCCCTTATCAACCAATTAAGTAAGAAAAAAAAGATATCTGTTACTGACGCAATGCTGAAGGCCAGTTTAACCAACAGTGGCGCCATTATATGTAAGAAATGTTGTTCACAAGACGTCTGTGTGATTCCGTAAAGTCGTAAAACTATCTAAAATAGGCTTACAGTAATTAAATCATGTTAAATATTTCTACGTTTGGCAGATTTATAATAGGACGGTTTCTAAAGTAAACTAAGTGAATAGTTATGTGTTAAAAGTCAGAATATTGTTTTTAATAACAAGCTAGAATAAAATTTTGGTATTTTCACTGCGGTTTTCAAAAGCGGCGATCCCATAATGCAAAACATTAAACTAATAAGTCTTGCAATCTGTTTGTTTTTTATTTAAAAACAAACAAAAACATATATCAATACTAAAACCATTTATGAGATAAAAAGAAATACCATCTCATGCACGTACGCAGGGGAGTTTCCAGGGGGTTAGGCCGAACTATATATTTTTGTGATGTAAAACAATTCTGTTATAGCGCAGCTGCTTATGGTATTTAACATTTTCTACATGCCCTACATTCTTCTGATGAAGCATTAGCATATTTTGGTTTGAAATAGTCGCATGCAATGGCATCTGTTGACACTTTTTAATTGGAACACCGAAGCCGTATTGCTACTGTTAAGTATTGTAGGCGTATTATTTACAGTAGATTTCTGGGGGGCATGCCCCAGACCCCCGTAGCATTAACATGCTTTCCGTGCTGATTGTGCTTCGTACAATATGTGTTAGCTTTTGATCTCACAAATTAGAACCCTCTTTAAACATTCCGTGTACAGGCCTACATCGGAATTAAGTTTAAATACTGTTACGACAGCGGAGGTCACATGACACTTGTAACACGTCATGTGCTTCTAGAACGTTCGGGAAGTCTCGAGCTTTAACTAGATATGCGGTAGTCTTGTATATATAAGCCGCCAAGAAATGACGGCAACAATGTGTAATTGAACTGCGGACAGAGAGAGAGAGCACGTGAGACGTTCGTTGTAAATTATAGCGAGACTGTGGAAATTAAGTGTATTGCAAAGTTGTATTTAGAAAGAATAAACAAGTTTTATTTAAGAAAGGACTTGTATCGCTAAAGTTTCTTCGGAAAGAAATTATACGGAAAATTAACTAACAAACGGAGGCGTAACAATACTAATATTATAAGACTGAAATTGGTAAGGCTTATATAAGATTATCACAAACACAAAGCATACTTTGGGATATATATATATTTTTTATAATAAAATGGGCCAAATACCGCCCAGTTATTAGCATGCCAACTGTGAATGTGAGGCTCCGTGGTTCGCGTCCCGTTAACGCCAAAAATCGCGTTCCGCTTCTTGGAGCCGTGGGTACACAATAAAAGCGACAATCAAATTCCACTAATCGGTCTGACAAGAATAGCCCAAGAGATTGCGGTGAGTGGTGTTAACTAGCTGTATTCCTTTTAGTCTATCACTTCAAAATGAGGGACGGCTAGCACAGACAGCCTTCGAACCACTTGCGCAAAATTCCAGAAGCAAACAAATAAAAATAAAGGAACTGGTTAAACATCATTATTCTTTCTAACGCTTGGTCATTATATACTGTCACAAAATCTAGTGGTGAGCGCTATTTCATGTTAGCATCAAATTTTATCAGAATTTTACGATGTTCTGTCTTGGTAACCTCGTTCTAAGCTCGCGATTTTAAGATACAACAGTAACAGTTGCTATTCATTTCACGCCGATGAACGAACAACAAGTTTAGTTTCAACTGAATATTCCATTTCACAGAACTTTTGTAGTATACGTAATAACGTATTTTGACTCATGTTTACTCCCTACAACTTTTTCTGTAAATTGCAACTCTATTAATTTTTGTTATTGTTTTACAGTCAAAAAGTCACATTTTTTTCTCGTGATTATAAGATAAATAACTGTTGTTTTGTAGGTAAAAATATATTTTTTACTTGTTTCTGAGACGTGGAGTTGCGAATGAAGGGATTTAAAACATAAAACACTAAAATGATGCATGGCGCTTAGGGGGTTAGTAAAATTAAATCGTTTACTGTATGTATGTGTGTGTGCATCCAATGCGTCTTATAGCATGTGACATGCTAAGGAGAGTGACTGCAACTTATATACGATAACGTTTATGAAAAATAATGAAATATAAAGTTGCTAACTTTCACATTCGATCACACGAAAACTTAAATCTAAATGACCCTTCCATTACGGGCTGGGTGCAATCCACCCAACCCGTAACCAGGAAAGCATCTATGAGAGTAATTGTACTATAATATTTGAAAATGTACACAAAAGTCCTTACAAAATTTTGCAGATTATTTGTCGTATTATTTGATATGTTCACTGGTGAGTTGGGATACAAAAATTGCAAGCTGCATTCAAGGAAAAAGCATTCCCTTTTACTTTTAGTTGTTCTGTTGTGATGTTGATGAATATCATCACTCTCATTTAATGAATAAGTGATTTTATATGAACAACCAAATCATATTTTTGTCAAAAAGGTACACGTATCTACTTTTAATTTGCCTTTAGTGAGAGCCTCATCTACTTAAAAGTTGTCAACCTTTTCTTTAGCTTCGGCGTGGACATGTAGGTTAGTTCGAAAACTAGTTTTGTCAAAAGATTAAAAAACAAAAAACCTTAGGTTTCCTTTAGAGGTTTGAAAATAGATTTGCAACAAATTTTCTAGAGGTTCTTGTTGCTTGACAGAGAAACGTAGTTTGCACTATTAAAAATTTCAAGTTTATTAAATTCAGTAAAAATCTGCAAGGTCTAAATGTTGTGAAATGAGTAGCGCCCCCCCCCCCTACCCGAGGCTCGACAATAAGTCTAAAGGCTTATAACGCTAAAAACCTGGTTTTTTATACACGCGGTGGGCAGAGCACAGATGACCCATTGTGTATCTTTGTAATTAACAATTAATAAACAAACAGAAAGGAGTAAAATCCTGTAAACATCGGAAAATTGGATTTTAGTGCAAAACTTAGGGATTGAAAATAGGCCTGTTTTAAACTGTTCATTTCTTGAGTAAACATAAAAGCAATTAGCACATTTTATATCTGTAACTAAAAAAATCTGGTAACTAAGGGATTATATAATGCATGATATACCCACATATCATACATGTACAACATTTCATAGGCTTATACTGCTAATACAAATAAAAAAAATACCGACATACCCCGGAGGGGGCCGAGGGTATTGCAATCGGGTACGTGTGTGTGTCTGTGTTTCCGCGTGCGTACCTCGAAAACTGAACGACCGATGTTCACGAACATTGTACACAAGATGGGGAGTAAGTATGGGATAATCCTCTCGAAATGTGATCCGGATTCGAATTCTGGATCACTTTGAAACATTTTTATAATGGGAGATAGGGTATTTTCGCGGTTTTGGGTTAATAACTCTGTAAAGCGTGATCGGATTTGTACCAAATTTCACTGGCATATTAAGGTTGAGACTCCTCATCACACTACAAAATTGATCCGGATCATTGATCATTCTGGATCTGAGAAGGATTTTCTGAGTTTTAGAGGGTGAAATTTAACGTTATCCAATATAAACACTAGAAACGGAGCGGCTGGGCGAGCGTATGCAATCTCTTTGATTGCTCGTGTTTAATATGAATTAAACTGGTCAGTATAGTTAAATCTAAATATACTTTGAAACAATAATAGTTCC